TTTTGAGGTTATGTCAATTTTAGTACAATTTACAGTGTTTCTTGGCATCAAAAGGTCAGAAAAGCATTGTTAATTACTTGCAAATTTATCATTCTGCCAAAGACTAGTGATCTAGTCGACTTGAGGCGTAAGAAATGCAGTGTTAGATTGCGAATTATTCACAAAATCTGTTCTTGATTCGCTACATAACCTATAAAAAGATTCTTACGTTTGTTTCTGCGTGAAAATCGAGGGAGATTCAAAGAATCTGGATGATTTGTCAGTAAAAGAAGCACGCAGGAAAAGAAAATTGCAAGCTTTTGGACACTTCTTAAGTACTTCTTCTGATGTTTTCACCACTTCTGACTGCAACATTTCCCCCTTGACTTTCCCCCCAACTCTTCCCGTCTCTGTCTCTCCAGCTTATGAGTGTACATAATCTTTGATCGGGCCATGCCATAAATTGTGGAAAGGCCGTGGGGATGGGCAATAAAATTAAGGCGACAACAAACACTTGTTGGAGTTCCGATGAAAGTCCAAACTTGAGTGTATTTTACATTTGAGCACGACGATGGGCGAGTGTGCGCCCGGAAAATGGGTCCGCCTGACCAGACGTCGTCCCACTCCTGAATTATGGGCCCAAATTAGGCAGCATCTTGTATCAATTCCCGAGAAAAGGGCCGATACAAGATGAAAAGGCCCACGATTAAAATCTTCTCACACAGAGAAAACCTTCCAAAAGGTCTCCCTTCGTGTCAATTCTTGTGACTTGTTCTGGCCGGATTGTTGTTTATAGGTTCAAGAAATTGATTTATGTCATGTAAAGTAGAAGAAATTTCACCTAAATAAATAAGTTGAGAGGAAACTCCCCATTTGGGATGGTTTTGTAACATTTGAGGGATGAAGACAAAAAAAAGTCGATATAAATTATAAATCTCTCTGACGCGCTTCTTTTCCATACTTTCTCCGTCTTTTGTCTCCCGAAAAAACCCTCCTCGTGAGGACTCGGAAGGACAATGGGAGAAGATGAAAAAAAGTCAAAATACCTCGATTAATAGCCAGAGGAACGATTTGTTGTACCTGAAGAAATCTCTTGGGGTTTCTTCTCACTGCCAGGAAAATTCACCCAGATTGTTGCGCATAATGATTTTATTATCAGCGAGATGATAATTTAATGTTGTACAAGAAACACACACACACTGGGATATGATCTATAAGGCGAAGAGGGTTTATTTGAATATCACAGCGATCGTATGACGAATAAATCAGGAGATTCCCATGGAGAATGCGAGCTTCGATGGCAGAAATAGCTCAACATATTATTGGTTTGTTCAACATGAAAGTGAAACCGTCACTGAATTCGCACCATTTATATATAGGGATATAATGATACTTTTTTTTCTCCCCGACTTGGCGCATAAATCATGTCCTTTCGAGGGTTAGACAATTTAGAAATTTTTCCTGGTTCTCAATTTTGATTGCACGCCAGCCAGACGTGAGATGGGAAAGGAGCGCTGCGAGACAAGGACAGTGAGAGACCGAAAGTCAAAACGACCGAACAATGGATATGAAAGGATACCTGTGTACGGTCACACCCCTTGGAGTTGTGCTCCTTTTTGCCCGCTCTCCTGCCCAGCAGGCAAACACAGCGCACAAGAAATGTATAGAATTTCATTTAAAAGTATCACTCGACCGACAATTGAAGGATCTCGGGATTTTTGTTCCCTGCGACTTTGGCAATTTTCACGGATATTTCAGGCATTCCGAAGGTCTGTGGATTTTCCAAGAATATCTCAAGAGAGTCTGCTTGAGAATTAGAGCGAAATTTGCGGAGTTTCAGAATAAGAATCACTTTCAGAAAAAGGGGAAAATTAAGAAGTAAAATGTTTGTTTTTAAAAGATTTCATTTTTATAATTTTTGAAGGTTATTTTGAAAAAATACATTCAGTAATATTTTAATTCTAGATAATTTCTGGGTTGATATTTAAGAAATTTTGAGGCATTTTTAAGAAAGATAAAAGGAAAAACTGAGAGTTGTTTATAAAAGATTTCTTTTTCACATATTTTTAAAGTTTTTCCTAGAAATACATTCAGTAATATTTTATGCTTAATTTTGGGAAAATTTCTGGGTTGATTTTAGAAATTTTGAAGATAATTTTCATTAAATTTCTCTTAGGAAAAGAATTATTTTTAAATAAGAAAATCTGAGGGTTGTTTCTGGATAATTTCTCTGGGTTTAATCAGAAATATTCAGGATAGATTTAAGGAAATTCACGAGTTCTTTTCAGAAATCTTCTGTGCTGATATTCAAGATAAGAGATAAGAGTTAAATATGGGATAATTCAGGAGTGAAGACAATCGAAAGGGCGAAAGGTAAACATCACAATATTGTGACGCCCCTATTGTGGGCATTAAGTGACTTGTAAATCGTGACTAATATCCTTTCCGTCCTGAATCTATTAAAATAAATTGTGAGAATAAGGCGATAATCGTCGAACGAAATCCATACCTATGCATCATTTTGATTTATTATCCCAGACGACTATCGTATCGCTATTATTTAACCATAATTCCATCCCTTTCGGCACGTAAGTAAAATACACACATATCTTGATGCCTGTTAAATCATTCAAAAATCATCAAATATCCTTTTTTGTCGCTCTCTCTTGACATCCTTGTCGCACTGTTGGTGAAAGAGGGATGGTTGTCTCGGTTGCACAGTCCGTTTTCTTGCTGGTTGATTTTTCCCAGCAAAGAGAGACAGTGTAGGGGAAGGGCGACATGGAAAATCTCTTATGTAACTGCCAATGCCGAGGGTTGAAATGGGAAAAAGAGGGAGTCCAACATCTTGATTTTCTACAATTGCGACTTGTTTCGCCGACCATTTATCCAGCATTCGCAGAAGAAGGAGAAATTGTAAGAAGGACGAGCGATGTAAGAAACAATTTTCTCAATTCACCACCAATTCAATCCGTCTCGCTCTCGACAACGTCTCAAGTCTTTCTCATGCGGCATTTTATGTCCTTCGCACTCCTCGATGGTCCCGAGAAAGAGTGCAGCAAAAGTGGGACGTGGATCAAAAAAGGACTCGATGGTGTTTGTGACAAATTAAAAAACGATAAATGTTACCAATTTTCGCCCCGCAACCCGGCTGAACAAGGGATGGAGAGGGATGCTAGTCGAGAATTTACTGTTGACATTTATAGCATTTTAATTTCTCTTGTCGGCTCCCTCTTTGCTCGCTTGCGCCGCGCAAGGACCTTCGCCTCGTCTCCGTCGCTGCACAATTCCTCCGCCGGCCAGCGACATACGGTCGTCTCTGTCGGGCGCGCAAAGGGCCGGCCATGTTTCTTACTTTTTGCTCACCTTTTTGTCTCACCGCGCACGCTGTCTCGCTCGCACGGCGATGCACTTCACCAACACAGGCGCAGCCTATGCGCAAAGGGGCATAATTTATATGCGACTTGACGAGTTACTGTCTCACTCACACGTTCCGATAGCTGTGCATCGGCAGTTCATCTTGAGACACACCATCCACAAGCTCCGCTGTCTTATCTCCGAGTGAGAATTTCATGGTTTGATATTTCGGCGTTACAAATTTGTCGAAATTACTTAAATTTATGCATTAATTATTCATGTAAATGTCTATGAATAAATAATTATGCCGACTTTCCGGGCATGTTTTTCACTACAGGCTTTTGAGTGGCAATAAAAAGCCTCTCCGAGAGAGAGAAAGAGAGAATTTTATGATTCTCGAAACTAATTTTATTTATTCTACACGCTTTTGTCTTGTTTTTTAATGCCAAAAGGAAATGGCATTAATGTGTCTTTAAGTAGAACCTGGAAGGTAAGATTACAAAATCTTAAGAGTATCCGGTCGCGCTTTTATCAATTTCCAGTCTTCTTTCTCTCTTGCTTGGCTATTTTTCCAACTCCAATTCATTAAATATCATATCAAATACCGCAATTTTTATCTCATGTCGTGAGGTGAGCCATCTTAGAGACCTCATCCCTCCTCCTGCCTTCCAGCGCCAGACGACGGCTTCTTCTTCATGCCACTTGATATCCCCGAAGATTGTAGAAAAACGCGATGGAGATATTTTAATTAACGATTATTTGCGAGACAATTGAATGAGGTGCGAGACACCGTCGGGCGCTGAAGGGGGCGGCGCGCCCAATTGAAATATCACCCCAACATCTGAGTTGCTATTAATACCATAAATGTAATCAGGCGAGCGTGTTTATATCCTTCTAATTGAACAGCGGGCAGGACACGTCGGGAAGCGCCGGAGAGACCGTCTGAGCGGTCCTGCGGATCCTGACTCTAGGCGGCTTATAGTGCTGACCTTGTCTCCACCGCACTGACACTCTGTCAAATGTCTAGCCCATTTCGGAGGCGCAGGAGCAGTGTCCGTCCCGCTCCCACCCATGCCCAGGCGATCCTTGCTGTTCAACATGATTTTGATGGTGTTTTGATAGTGTTTGTTATTCGTTTTTGATGCCCAGTATATTTCATTGGTATTGATGTATTAACACATCTGCGCGATCTTGTATTTCATTCGTCGACGGGCACCGGCATGGGCCTCTCCTGTTCTCGCTCCCGCAGCCAGAGGCCGCGCAGCGTGCGTGTGTGTGTGTGTTGTTGACGATTTCTCGCCTGCGTACCAAAAGTTGAGCTTTTTTGCCCAGCCGCACCAACACACACGCGCGCCACCGACGGCGCTGAGATGCAACAAGAGCAACTTCTGCGCAACCACACTCGCGACTGAGCTCTTTCCCCTAAGCGGTCCCCTATAGAGTCGGCGGCACAGTGTGGCCCGAGTTGGAGTCCACACACACGCACACACACACACGCCTCATGCCGTCGCGCTCCCTCTTGCGGCGTACAGCATAGCGCTGTCTCGCGCGTAAGGCGTAAACTTGCGCGCGCTGATGAGTTCTTGTCGCAACCTTCAAGGCGGGAATGGAATCAGTCATTCCTATTTCTTTCCCCCGCCAGTCAGTTGAAACTGATTGACAAGCCAGTGTGTATTTGTCTTCGAAACGCGTTCGACGTGTTACCGACGTCGCTCCGTAATCCATAACTCGCCGCTGCATTTTTTTCGGGGTAAACAACATCCATTGAAAATTTATACATTTATTACCGACATAAAGATAAAGAAGCCAAGTCCGTAAGAAAGTGTGACCATCAGTCAATTTGTCTTGTACAGAGGAGGAAGAGAAATACCTAAAATACGAGAGAGGAAGAGATACTTAAAAGCGAAAGCTCAGACAGAATTAATCAACGTATACGAGTGTGGAGCAAATTTTACACATCAACCCTTCCCGATATTGGTCGGGTTGGCGGAAGGAGAGAGATATTTTTCGGTTACAAAAGGGCCCAATATTTTCGTGGTGGAGGACTGAAGTGTGATCATGGAACATGCATCCGTCAGGCAGACAGCGCACTCTGGCCGCACCGTGCCCTCGAGTTGGTGATACAGGAGTCACTGAGGTCCTGTGAGGCCCAACAAGATCCAGTTGTGGCGAGAATGTTTTGTGGTGGCTTTCGAGAGTTGCTGTGTTGATGAACTAAGTGCGTGGCTCGCCTGCAACTCATAAGTTTTCAATAGAGAATAATTCCCGTGTTTAATATCTCCGGTTCGCGTCGCGCGGTCTCAATCTTACTGGTTTATCTCCGGACATCTTTGGACACTTTTCAAGAGAAAAGAACTTCTGCCACACTGTGTGAAGTGATTATACAGAGAGAGAGAGAGACTTTGGCGGGTATACCCGGGCATACCGCGTCAAGAAAACTCTAGCCACCCCCCAACTAGGCACCAAGCTAGGCACCAAGCTAGGCTCCAAGCTAGACTCCAATAAGTTTGCAAAGATTGTTGCGCGATGCTCTGCACTTCCAGCATCAATCGACGAGCTTCTGGATTCCTCGGTGTGAATTTCGTTATGATTGTTTACTTGTGATTTCCTTGGCGATTGCTTTCGGTATAATTAGCAGTAATCTTAACTGGAATAGATCTGTAGTGTGCTCTGAGATTTGAAGGCGAAAATACCAATGTTGCGAAGGGTGTTGATTTGTTGCATCTCTGAGTGAATCTGTGGTGAAGGCGAGGTTAGATTAACCCCTTCCGATTTTTGTAAAATCATATATTAAAGGCGTTAAGGAAAAAGTGCTCCAATAACAGTGACACGCAAAACATCAATATTTCCCAGAAGAAGAAGAAGAGTGAATTTTGAGAGAGAGTGACAGTATATATCGTGCTTTTAATTATACACAGGGTGTTAAGTGTATAAAGTAAAGTGGCCCAAGTAGAGTTTGCAGCCGCTCCCAGAGCATTGATGGCTCAGCCGAGGGTAGGTCCTAAATAATGTATTTCACAATCTAACCCAACTAATTAATCATATTTTCCTCCTCGCCTAACGATTAACCGACCCCCCATTCGACGGGGTGTTTGTGTGTGAGTGTGTTTCGTGCGTGGCAACCCAACCCCGACGTCGTGAGTCCGGCGATGCCCAAATCTCCAGAAACACGTCACTATAATCTAATTAATTAGCCATTTGGAGGGTATTTGTGCCACCCAAAATCGGACAACTGCTCTCTCTCTCTGATGGCGATTTCGTTAATTGATCCACATCGTCCGACGGTCTTCGGTCGTTGGATCTTCTTGACTTCTTGTGCCTCTTTTCGGCACAGTGCTTGTGAAAGAATCAAGTGCGATCGGAGCCCATTTGTGATCAAACCATGATCCCAGTTAATCGTTGATATATCAGATCAACATTTCAAGCCATAATCCAAAATAGAGCCTTCCAAGTGACAGCAAATCTGATTAATGAGACACTTGTTTGGATCAGAGTTCGCTTTGTTTATTTTGCACTTTTGTCGCTGATGAAGCGCGCGCTTTGTCCTGTTGCCTGGCCTTCCTCTGGCGCGACTGGTGAGGTCCTGCAGGATGTCCTATTGGAGTTTTTGGGAAGATTTTCCGGCTAATAGTGCTGGAAAATTGAAATGCAAGCGCATGCGTGTGTTTTGAGACTGTCAAAAAAGTCATCAATCAATTCCAGCCATTTTGGATTTGTGAACCCGTCTCTAGTTAGTGCCACATAAAGCATGTCGATATTTCGGCTCAATGCCTGTACAACTGCCTATGTACTTCCGAGGGGTATATAGTGGTGAGGCGGCAGAGAGAGAGATAGCCCAAATATGAGGCTCAATATTGAGACGGATGGCATTACCGAGGGTATATATGTTGTCGCTCAAGTATTTCCACATATATTGAATCATCTGAGGCATCCCATCAGGCACAAAGTATGCAGAATATGTGGTGTTTTACCATTTCGACTGGGTTTACAAACTAATGGCACTTCGAGGAGAGGAATTGAAGTCTCTAGATAAAGTCCTGTGTGTATGTGGAATTGTATAAGGGGTTGCGATCCACCCCGTATCACTATCTTTGGCGAAGTGTATTGAGGAAAACCCCCTCGAAATCCTCAGAGCGTTCAACTGAAGTTTGCTCTCTTGTACACACATATCTTCATGTGTTTTCAAGCTAGGGTAGAGGATGATTTTATTCAACTTCTGCCCTGGCAGAAGAGTGAGAGAAGAGCCATCATATATCTTCCACGGACTGGTGAATATTCCAATGAACATTTTCAAAACATTTCTCAAAATATTTTTCAACATACACATCAGAGTTTGCGATGGGACAACGGACTACAATGGGGTGTTCAAGAGTATCGACAGAATTGAAAATGAAAAAAAAAATGTTATGGGAAGAGGACAAAGATTGAGCGAGGCTGGAAAAAGTCTATATAGTTTTGTGGATGAAATAATAGGAATGAAAGGTGTTCACCCTTATAGAGCCTCTCTCTCTCTCTCGCTCATCTCGCTGGGGTGAGAAATTGGAGACGAGACGCAGGAAGAGAGATCCTTTTTATGCCTTTTTAATGCACCCAATTCAATTTTTGCTGGGTTATTGTTCATTTGGCTCTGTGCTGAGCTCTTTGTCCATGGACAAAATACCTCCTCTTGCACCCCGAGACACTCCCTTTTGGGGGATGATGTGCAGGGGAAAAAAAAAGGAAAAGATCATCGCGCGACGGCCAATGTTTGTCCGGAATGACGCGATGGCAGAGACATCAACCTCCTACGGAGTTTTCGGAGACAGAGAATGTCTGGTCATGAGCAAGTTCCAAATTGCAATTTAATTACGGCGATTGTTTTGAGGCGTTGAAAGCATTTGTCAGACAAATCGACATATTATTAGTGCCATTAAAGTCCATCAATGGTTTGGGACGATTTTGTGGTTTTTACCTTCTTTAAACTATCATTTTGACTTTCTGTTGTGTCTTTAACGAGAAATGACATATAACATGGGATAATTACGATTTTGGGGTAAATTGTCGTGGCCTAAAAGACCCCTTCAGTTGGCAAAACACATCTTCACCGTAAATTGTGCTCCGTCTGAGGTTGAGCAGGTGACCTGAAGACACTCAGTGTTCAATTGACATTTGCCTATTGGCCAATACTTTGGCGAAGACACTCACAGAGTCTCTGTTCTATGTAAAATGTGTCCCTCTCCTATATAATTCGTCTCAATTACACACTGAAAACAACATAAATCTCATCGCAATGCAATAATTCATTCAACACACAAAACATTGTGGCTTGTCTATCTGACGGAAAAATCTCTTATATGGAGAGTCACATACAGACATGGTGTATTTATTTAAATATAAAATAGTTGAAGATGCCATGGCGAAAAAAAAGAGCCAAAGAGTTTTGATGAAAAAACCAGAAGATTTACATAAACATCAAAATTTTTCAAGATTTATCTCTGGAAATCTCTTCCTCAGCATTGAGACTGTCTCTCGTTGATCTTGTGTGTTGAGCCTGAGAGAAGAGAGAGAGAGAGAGGATCTTTCCGTTCCCGCGGGATTGAGATTTATACACCGGCATATTAATGTCAATATCACGAAGAGATCTTGATAGTCGTGTGGCCGTTAGCCGACGGGAAGTGGACAGGCGAAGGTTGTGGCCAGAGGGTGGATTTGCTTTGCAAGTCAAAGGTGGATGATCTCTTCGGCTGAACCTCTCATTGACACTGAAAATAAACTGGAATTTCAATCTCTTTTTCCACTTCAAATTCAGCATATTATATTGATTTTCGATTAGACACACTTTTTGAGACCTTGAATTTTTGGGCCATTTTTCTGTGATGCAGCAAAATTTCCCGCTTGTCCAAATCCTTCTCATAGTCATGAAATGTCCTGCGACAAGAAGGAAAGGAAGAAAAAAATACACGCCGAGGAAAAGTCGTCGACTCAGCGTGAAAAAGAGGAAAGGAAAAAAAGAAGTGAAATGCGATGAGGAAAAAAAATCCATTTCCTTTTTAAATTTAACCATTATGTATGCTATACTTTTCATATTGGGCGACGGGCGGGGGCGGGGGAGGCGGAGGAAAAGTGGGAGAGAAAAGGAAAACATTACGTGTTAGTTTTTCCACCATTTTTCCTCCTACAAATGTCGTCTTGGTGTAATTTTTTTTCACCGCCTCTGTGCGTTATTTTCCTCCATCACCAGCCATCATCATCTTGTATTTGGTGTGTGCTTTTGGAAGTGGATGGGAAAGAAAATATCCATTTTCCCGAAATAGCAAAATAGTTTTCGAGACTCTCTAATGCACTATTTCTGTTTCCGCATCATCGGATTTCCAAGGAGAGGCCGCGCGCGCGTCTCCTGTCGAGACCTTTCCAAATCTCCTCAATGCTGTAAGATGTTTCTTACCTCCTTCTTCAGCTGATGGCGTATAGGAAAGGCTTCATTAAGTGATTTATTTCTGGCACTTTTTTCCACTCTCTCCCTTCCTCACACCCCCAATCGATCGTTCTTCCATCGTCTCTGCAACAATATGAGTGGAAAATCTCACAATTTTTCCACCCTTCGCTCTGATGGTGGAAAATTCAAAGTCCCTCGACTGTTTGAGAAGAAGAAAACTGTGAAATTAAGCGGCCGCTATGACGTCAAACGAGACACATTCTGTTTCGTCGCCATTTTAAAAGACGTAAATATCATTCAGGAAAAGAACTTTATAATATTTCTCGCTGTTTTTTCATCATCTTATTCCTCACTCTCTCGCTCGCGGATTGCGCGCGGACACAGGGAGAGAAAAGTTGACGGTAAAAATAGATGGAGACAAACTAATTGGGTTTATTAGTTGAAAAATTTTCCGTGTGTATCGTGCATTAATTTTAAAATTAACTGTCATCTCCTCTGGCTGAAAGTCTCATTGTGCAGCGAATAAGAGGAATTATGTTGATATTGTGAAATTTCAGTAATTATCTTGTCACCGCCATTTTGATAATTTCCACACGCTGTGTGGAAAATTCATGCTTGAGAGGAGCTCTGGGCTCCCGGTTAGATGGCTGAGATAGCAAGATTATCTCTCTCTGGGCCTCTCCTATTTCACCTCTCCATGGCTGGCTTCTTTCCGCCCTCGCGGACCCCGCGAAGGTGGGTTTTCGGGCTTGTCGGCGAGAGGAGAGTCATTTGAATAATTTAGAACACTTCTTCTTCCACAATTCCCTCTTTTAATTATTTCGATGGCTCTTGACTGTTGGTCTGATAACTCTCTCAACGGCGCTGCGCTTCTGCCTTCGCAAGGGGCGGACAAGTCGCGACTTGCGTGTTGCCTGGTTGACCTGCGGTCGCTCTTGTCCACTTCGGGATCATCCACTAAATCACCCACATTTATCCCCTGCGGTGTATGTTCAGTTCAAGACCCCAAAATGAGTGTCTGTCCACCCGAAGATGGTAATGATGATGATCCGCGGTCAGGATTGCCCAACAGGATTGCGCCCAGGCAAAAGACATCGCGCGCACGGCTTCCAAGGAGAGAGAATATAAGAGAGGAGATAAATGAAGTCAAAACAATTCATAGCGCAAATTAAGATATTGCATTGCATTGCAGTCATGTTAATGCAAATGACCTCTGGTTATTTTGCAATTCAAAACGAGAATGCGCTGAGACTTTTCCTTTTCGGTGTGTGTCTCTCTCTCTGGCTCTCTGTGTTCAATGTTCAATGTTTAATTCGTTCTTTTGGGCTCCCTCGCACTGCATCAATTGCTTGGGATGTCTCTTGTGGTCACTTTTATCGCTCCCCTGCAGCCTTGCAAGTCCACCAAGTGCGCTCGCGCCTCTCAAAATGCTCAATGATCGCGCGCGCTGAGAGTCAATTGAGCTCGTTTGGCTTTCGCGACACCCAGAATTCCATCCATGAGAAATGAGAGAGAGAGAGAGAGATATTTGGTTGCCGGGGTGCAAAATTGGAGGCACATTGATGAGCTTGAGCAGCGG